GTGAGATCGCCGACCACGCCCTAGCCTTCTATGGCAAAGTTGAGCAAGCTATTGCCACGAATACAGACGGGGTAGCAGCCGACTACAACAAGAGGACCCGCCATGCAGGACAAGGAACCAACTATCCAAAACATAATACCTCAATCGCCAGCTGACCAGCCAGCTCGCCGCCGCCAAGCGAGGCCGCCGAGGAGGCCCTGACCAGCTCACCGACGACATGTCCAGAGCCAGCCCTGAAGGGATGGCTCGCCTGCTCCACCCCGTCCTAGTCAAGACCCACTTCGAGAGCACCGAGCCCATCGCCGCCAAGGGAGGGTACTCTACCTATTTCCACAAGGGACAGGGCGCCATGGAGCTCCAGAAATCATACCGCGGCATCTTCCTCAACAACACCATCGGCAAGATGCACAGCACCTTCCTCCGATCCCGCGTGAAGGGCCTGCTACCTGAGCTACTTGAAGCAAGGCAATGCGGCGCCCGACCCAAGATGGCCACGGATTTCATTACTCACACCAGTCTCGCCTTCATCTGCGACTGCCAGAGGAGATCAATATCATGCAGCATCACCTTCCTGGACCTCAGGGAGGCCTTCCACTCCGTCGTCAGGGGATTCTGCTTGCAATTGCCGACCACCGCTGACGAGCTCAACGAGCTCGTCGAACGGATCGACATTCCCGACTTCATCAGACCAGCCCTAAAGGAACGATTCCAGCAACCCGCATACAACAACCAGCACATCGACGACGAGCACCTCTGCCACATGATCGCAGATCACCACACCTCCAACTGGATGACAGCCCAGAGCGCTAGGCATTACCAGCTGCCTCGGACCAGCGCGCGACCTGGAGTGCCATACTTGGATGTCGCCTTCAATTTACACTTCGCCATCATACTGAGGGCAATGGACCAGGCAGTTCGAGAGGAAGAGGCCCACGGCCAGCAGACAGGTGGACACGAAATAGAGGCGTGCAGTGAGCCTCTATTTTCACCAACCCCTCACGAAGGTAGCGCGCTCAGAAACGTGTCCTTCGTCGACGACCTCACCGACTACAACTCGACCGCCGACGCTGACGACCTGATCAACGCGACAGCCCTGGCAGCAGCCAGACTCTGCACAGCAGCATTCCAGCATGGACTGAAGCCACGCCCTGACAAGACCAAGGCCATCCTCGTGCACTACGGCGCGGGGGCCAAGAAGGAGAAGCAGCGGATAGCCAAGGGTGGAATCGCATGCCTAGAACTGGACGGACTCGCGATCAAGGCGCAGCTGGTAACGCAACAGAAGGCCCTCGGTACCATCATCTCGGCGGGCGGGGTCATGGGGCCAGAGATCTGCCTAAGGGTCAACCGTGCACTTGGCGCAGCTCGCCCTTTAGAGAAGCAGATCCTCCGCCGCAAGAAGCTCTCGAAGAAAGCCGAGGTCAAGTACGTCCACTCTTTTTCGACATCCTCGCCCACCTACAACCACCATGTCTGGAACGACTTGACCCAGGAGGACATGAAACACATTTCCGCCAAGTACATGGGCCCATGCCGTGTAGCCGCTTCACTACCCAAGACCAACTCACCCGACCAACATATCTCCGAGGCCGAGGCGTTCGCCAAGACAGGAGTACCCGACTTCACCACTCACCAGTCGATTGCGAGGCTACGATACTTGCCCAGACTCTTGGGTAACGCTCCAGCAGTCCTACTTCATCTACTCGACGGCCAGCGCCAACGAAAAGGCACATGGAGCCGCCAGCTCAAGAAAGACTTCGACTTCCTACGCGAGTCCTTACCAAAAGAAAGGTGGCCCAGCCAAACCCAGTACGACCGTGACATCATCAACTGGGCCCGACAGAAGCCGAAGCTATTCACCAACGCGGTCAAGGCGGCTTTGAAGGCAGAAGGCATCTATTCTCCACGGTCGCGACCAAGCTCAAGGCGCCAAGCTCCAGAAAGACATCTTGATGACCCCGGCAGGTTACGCAACTGAAGTGATGGACCTCATCGACGACGCGAACAATCAGAGGTATGTCTGCTACGCCTGCGGCCGAGTTGCCTCCAGGCAAGGCATGCTTATCCATATGGGCAGGGACCGTCCAGACCATGAAGGCCCGCGCTTCTGGGCGACAGGGACAGCGTGCCGATGCTGCAAGACCGAGCACCACTCTCTTCCCAGGCTCATCAAGCACTTATCGGTGGCTCACCGTTGCCGCAAATCCTGGCATGCCTGGCATGCCCAGACGATGGGGCCTCTGACGGAGCAGCAAATAGCAGATGACATTGCTGCCATCGCCGAGGCCACAAACGCCAACAAGAAGCAAGGGCGACGCCCAACATTCAGCGACAAGCCAGCCTACCCGTGCGACGTCACGCCGCTGCCTCTCCTCGAGGCGTCGCCCGTCCTACCCGAAGCATTTGCCAGACTCGAGCCATCGCCAAGCAGACCGCCCGCGCGCTCGCCTGCAGAACCAGCCGAGCGCCAAGACATCGTCTTCATCACGGACCGCCCTCGACAGGCCGCCGACCTCCAACAGATCATGGCCAGCGACGGGATCATGAGCATCAGCGGACTGGACTACACGCAGATCGCCATCCCCAGCGATGGCCATGCCTCAGAACTCCCTACAATACTTCGGCGAGCACAACGCAGGATCCTACATGGCGAGGCTGCTGCCATCTACGTAGAGTTCCCACGACGTACCTGGTACCTGCACGATGCCACCGACGTTCTAGGCAGCAGAGCAAGCAAGCGGCGCGCCCCAGAGGCACCTCGGGGCATGCCTCAAGTCTCCGAAACCATCGCCGGTGAGCTATTCGCCGCCAACAACGTCACACGAGAGATCTTGCGTATGATCTTCACGGCGACCACTACCAGAGTACCATTCGTAGCAGCCATCTCTGCCGAGTCGATCATTAGACAGACCCCAGAATATCGGCACATCGCCAACCTGACGACCGCCTACGAGACCCCGACGAACCACTACGACCTCGGTACCATACAGATCCTCGACAACGGCACCCGCGACGACCTCCGCAACATAATGCACGCGGCAAACGAAGAGGAGATCGACTTCACCATTGCCGACCTGCTCGACGGCAACATGGTGGCTAGATGGGGCCTCAGAACAGCAACCGCTGCTCCTACCAGCCAGAACATGAACACCAACGACGCCTACTACATCGAACGGAGAGGACGAAGTGCCGCCTCATGCCGAAGACGAACGCCATGAAGAATGCCACCGACGACAAGTTCAACGGCGTCAGGACGCAAGTCCTGAGGAAGCCCCGAGTGCGTGGGAACACCTCAGGCAGCGTCGCCAAGTTTTGCCAGAGGCGTTAGGACGCAAGTCCTGGCCCCGAATGCGACGGAGCTCCCCAGGCACAAGTCGCCACGTTTTGTAATATTTCAGAAGGCAACGTCAGCTCGTGCAGGAGGTCAGCGGGTACTTGCGAGCCGCATCACGCACCCACTCCACTCTCGCCAAGCACCACCGACCAGATACACTTCACGACCAAAGGTACGACCTTCCACACCACGCCACAAGTCAACGCTGCCATGGTGAGGCAAGGATCAAACTTCGAGACGGGCTCGAAGGGTGGTGGGGCAGGACAAGTACTGCCCGCGCCTACCAGGGGGGATGGTGAGGGGCAGAAGGGGGGGGGGGGTAGGACGGCCACTACCACCCGCGCCCCCGCGGTCCGCCCTAGCTCGCCACCCCCACCATGCCCATGGCGAAGGAGGAGCTTACCCGATCGCCGACGCGGAGAAGCTGAAGGCAGCTGAGACATTCCTCACCGACGACAACAGCAAGCACCAGGCCTGGGGTTCGCCCCCACCGAGGGCACTGTGACCCCTAGCCATAGCGGGGCGAGGTGGGGCCGCCACGAACCCCACTTGAAGTCGGTGCATGGAGGCCTCTCATGTGCTCCCATAACCCACACCACAACCCCAACAACAATACGCTCTCCCCACGACCCGACCATAGACATTCAAGACGACCATCTACAACCTATGGGACTCGCCACCGACCGATCACCCACAACGAAAACCACCACCCATCCAACCACCATCACCACCTCGATTCTGCCAGCCCACTGAAAGGAGGACAGGAGCAGGGTCCTCAGCAGTGCGGCGCGACTCAACCATGACAGTGCCTGCTGAACGGAGGACAGGAGCAGGGTCCTCAACAGCCAGGCTTGATCAGTACGCCACGGAAACACTGAAAAGGAGGACAGGAGCAGGGTCCCCAGAACCAATCTCCAGATGGCACGCCCGCAGAAAGGAGGACAGGAGCAGGGTCCTCAGCTGCGAGGTACTACAAAGACAATCAACCCCAGAACCTCCACACCAACAACAACAACCACCACCTCGACCAGACCAGCCCGCTGAAAGGAGGACAGGAGTAGGGTCCTCAGCAGCGTGGCGTGATGAGCCCACCACATCTGAAGCTGTGCTCAGCACGCCCGACATCTCAGAGGAACTCAAGCAAAGTGAAGGAGGCGGCGCACCGTGCGCCGCGGCGAGGCCTTCCCCAGCCTTCGGGCCGAAGGGGGGAACGGCCCGCCCCCCGTGTAACATACGGGGGCCGCCAGCTCAGCCGAGCTCGAGGGCGGCTAGAGAAGGTCGGACGCCCCTCAGCTCGCGAGCAAAGGAGGGGCGTCCGTCGCAAAGGAGTTCGTGGAGGACCAGTTCGACGCCCACATGAAGGCGCTGGACTGAAGGGCTGCGCCGCGGCGGCCGCCGCCGCGGCATAGAGCCCTCACTGAAAGGGTTCGCTGAAAGGAGGAGGAGGAGGAGGGGGGGGAGGGGGAGGAGAGGAGGAGGAGGAGGAGGAGGAGAGGAGGAGGAGGAGGAGGAGGAGGAGAGCCAGGAGGAGGATGAGGAGGAGGGGGAGGGGTAAGCGGGAGGGGGAGAGGGGGGAGAGGCACATGGAGGGGGAGAGTGGGCTTGCGGGGGAGCAGGGGGGTTCCTTCTGGCCCCCCAGGAGTGGGAAGACGTGCGGTTCCAACACCTTCTGCGTCACGAGGTTCACGCCAGAGGTCGCTGGCGCGCGCGGTCGGCGCGCGCGCCCGACTGGGGTCAACACCTGGCAATCCGAACAGCTCCCATGGGGTGCCCCGTGACGCCACGCCGTCCGCGCCGCACCCGCAGGCAACGCGCCACCAGGGCTCACGCCGCTTTGCCGCCGCAGCGAAGCCTTCGGCTGTGCAGGAGCCCTTCTTCTCTCCGGAGGGCCCGAGAAGTCCCTGGTGGTCCCTGCAGATGTCGCCAGAGGTCCCCGGAAGTCCGCGAAGTCTCTGGAGATCTCCGGGGGAATCTGGAGGCTCCCAGAGCGCCCAGGCGCATCCAGGCCCAGTGAAGAAGGCCAGACATGTGCAGTCAAGCCAATACCTCCCCCCCCCCTTACACCCCAGGAGGGGTCCGTGGGCTTTCAAGGCGGGCCGAGCGCACCTTCCACGGACAGCGGCATCACCGAGCTTCGCAGCTTCCTCGCAGGGCGGAGCGCTGTGGCGTGAGGGCGAGCCAGCTCTCCGAGCGGGAGCTGGGGTCAAGTCGAGAGACGCAAGCTAGCGGCATGGTGGTCCGTGATCTGTTCTCCCACTGGAAGGTGCCGAAAGAGGGGTGAGGGTGCAGAAGAGTAAGCGGAGGAAGAGCATTCAAGGGGAGAATCAGAACGACGAGATGGGCATGAACATGTCGCGTCTCATGTGTGTTCTGCCCAATATGGTCACCTCTTCAGGTCTAGCAATTTTCTGTGCTCAGTCACGGTACGGCATTATTCTCCTCATTAACTGTTTTGTACGTCAGAACTTTACGCATTTCCAAACGCAATGTGCTACTCAAGTGATATCCTCAATGAATGGATCGCTTGTGCCAATTTGCAAGGCTCTGTTGCAATTCTAACGGCTCGGGCAATCTGTACACACACACACAGAAAACGCACCGTGCCACCTCGTCGGGATCACGGCGTTGGACGCTCATCCGGGACGTGTCGAGCATTGTCAACAATTGATGGAGCCAAACATTGGAGTCCGAAGCTGATCGGCCTACCGGAGTTGGCTGAGCGCGCCAGAGAGGTGGTATTCCAAGGACGCAGGAACACCTGCGAATGGTTTGCCCACTGACGCTTCCAGAACGTCCCCCCGCGATAACATCCCAAGAAAGCCCAGGAATCCCAAAACCTCTGAAAACGAGTACAGGTCACCTCGGCAGAAGGGTCAACACCTCGCCACAAGAACCCTGAATCGAGTAATGAAACTCCGTTGCGGCCCCAGCTGCGCCAGGACCGTCCGAGAAAAAACAGCAGAGGAAAGATATCAGCAATTCCGAGCCCCTTCTGCAAGAGAGGTGGCCCTCACTCCAACGTTCTGCCCGTAACCCGAAAGGAGATGCAGAGATAACTGATACCGCGCATGTGCCGAACGCAACGGCAGCCGTGCTTGTCGCGGCACTGGGCGCTCTAACCGACGACGCTTCTGCCAAGCACAACGCCCCAAACAGAACGACGACGGAGGAGGACGACGAGGAGGAGGAGGAGGCGGAGGAGGAGGAGGAGGAGGAGGAGGAGGATAAAGAAGAAGGAGGAGGAGGAAGATAAAGAAGGAGGAGGAGGAAGAGGAGGAGGAGGAGGAGGAGGAGGAGGAGGAGGGGGGGGAGGGGAGGAGGAGGAGGAGGAGGAGGAGGAGGAGGAGGAGGAGGAGGAGGAGGAGGAGGACTCACCGACGGCGGCACGTCACCCCTGAAAGAAGCGGCGGCACGATCGAAGGCTCGCGATGCTGACCGCTCTGGAAGCACGAGCGCCAGTTCTGTGCCGCTCGCGCAAGGTCTCCTCCAGAGCGTGGCAGCGTCTCGGCGGGCCCCCCTGGGCGGGGAGACACGATGTCGAGAGAGGAGAAGGAAGAGAGGGCACAGTGGAGGCCAGTCCACAAGAAACCTTCCACAAGAAACCCAACCCTGCGACCCCAGGACGTCCATCGATTTTGGTATAGGAACGTCACGCTTTCCATCGCAAAACCATCGAAACCCAAGAAACCCAGGGCACCCTGGAGGCAAGCAGGGTGTTTCTTGGAATGGGCCCCCACTGTAACGCAGGGAGAGATGGGGGACGGGAAGTGAGAGGAGGGGGGAGGGAGGGAAACCCGAACCTCGAAGCCAGGGCCGAACTCGACCCCGAGGTACGTCTGACCGGGACTTCGAGGGGAGTCCAGTCGCAGAACGAGGGAGCCGCCACAAGAAACTCTAAGAACGCCCCTGCCAAACACAAGCCTCGATCCTCGACTTCCCTCTTGGCCTAGGCGGCGGCGGGGGGGGTCTGAGTTGGATGGGCCCCGAGAGAATCGGCCAAGAGGGGAGACACAGCCAAACCGCGGCTGGGGGGTCTGAATGGGATGGGCCCCAGGAGGATCGGCCAGGAGGGGGGAATGAGCCAAGTCCGTTAGAAATCTGTCCCGGGACCCCCGAAAAAGACTACAGAATCGCATTCCCGAGGGAGGAGGAGGAGGGGGAGAAGGGGGAGGAGGAGGAGGAGGAGGAGGAGGAGGAGGAGGAGGAGGAGGAGGAGGAGGAGGAGGAGGGAGGAGGAGGGAGCCGCCACGAGGTGTTTCTTGGCATGAGTTTCCACCGTCCTCGAACCTCACCCCACGAGGGTGCCGCCCGCCGTGCGGAGGGCACTCGAGGCCCTCTCCTGCGTCCGCGGGCCCTCCTCCCCAAACCCAGCATCCCCCCTGATCGTATGAGCGGGATGGGGGAAGGGGGAGGGGGAGGAGGGGGAGGAGCAGCAGCAGGAGCAGGAGGAGGGGGAGGAGGAGGAGGAGGAGGAGGAGGAGGAGGAGGAGGAGGAGGAGGAGGAGGAGGAGGAGGACCATTGTAAACCCAAGAGGACTTGGCATGGGTTTCCATTGTACGTGCAGCTGAGGAGGCAACGCGCGCGACCTTTCCCCTCGCGCTTGCGGCCCCCCGAGCGAGCCCTCCGCGGCCGGTGGCGCCCGGAGCGCGCGAAGGCGAGCGCCAGCGGCCCCAGCGGCCTCGCGGACAGCAGCTCCTCCAGGCTGCCGCCCCCAGCGAGCAGCGCCGCGGCCCTCTGACGAAGCCAGGACGAGAAGAAAATTCGACGAAGGTAAATCGAGAATCTCTTAGATCCCGCGGCTCTGGTGGATGCATCGGGCGCCGCGGCCTTCTCAGAGCGTTCCTGGAACGGATCGTTCCGCATCCTAGCCCGGTCCGACCTGTCCAGCTCGGCCCGCAGCTGCGCCAACCGCTCCCTCCTGTCGGGGGCCCCCAGACGGCGTGGTGACCACACCGCGTGGCGAGGATGTGGGGATGCGGGGTTTTCGGGCGTTTTCGTTGGTTCCTGCAAGTTTTACTGCCTCGGGATGCGTTCCAGCAGCTGCTCCTCGCCGAGTGCGCTCCAGGGGTGCCCGGATCGTCCCGAACGGCCGCCAGAGACCCGAGCTATAGCCCAGAAACCAAGCACTCGGAGATGGGCAGGCCCCGAAGAGACCCACAAGAGGCTCCCCAAGAGACAGGAGGCCTCCGAAAGGCCTCTGGCCCACGACCCAAGCAGTGTGGCGGGATGGGTCATACGCTACTAGATACTAACCACTAGACACTGGACCAAACTCCAGACCACCCCAAACTGCAAGCCAATAATTGCCCAGCGATAGCGGAGGAACGCATCCAACACATACACATCGAGCACGACATATGTTAGCCAGCGTGGACCCGAAACATTGCGTTCTTGCACTGTGGAGGTGAAACATATGTGGTGCAAGCTATGCGGTGAAAGCTATATCGTGTCAGCTATGTGGCGTGAGATATGGAGGTGGAAGATATGTGGCGTAAACTATGTAGTGCAAGTTATGCAGTGCAAGCTATGCGGTGTGAACTGGAGAAGCAAGATATGGAGTGTAAGCTATGTGATGTAAGCTATGTTGTGCAAGTTATGCGGTGAGCGCGGTGTGCCAGCTACGCGGTGTAAGCATGTGATGGCATCTGTGTAGTTCGCGGAAGCGATGTGGTGTGAACGATGGATGTGGAAGCAGTGGGTGTAAGCTATGTGGGGTAAGCTGTGCCATCCAAGCTGTGCGGTGTGAATTCGGAAGGGAAGCTATGCAATGTAAGCTATATCGTGTAAGCTGTGACGTGTACGGCATCCCGCGTGGAGCACGTGGCGAAACTTCTGCCGTGCACGCTCACGGGGCGCCCAGAAGGCGGTGCGGGCACGCAGCGCGGCGGAACCTCACCGTACCCCCCAAGCGCGGGGCGCCCACGAGGCGCGCATGAGGCGTCACGGGCACGCAGCGTCGCGCAACCCCGCCGTGCCCCCTAAGCGCAGGGCGCCAACGAGGCACCCATTAGATGGCACGGGAACGCAACGTGGCGGAACCCCGCCGTGCCACTCAAGCGCGGGGCGCCCACGAGGCGCCCACGAAGCGGCACGGGCCCGCAGCATGGTGAAACCCTGCCGTACCCATCCGGTTCCTCAGCAAGACACGCAAGACCCCTGAGCGAAATCACTGTTTGGGCAAGGAGCTCTCAAGAGCAATACTGAACACTCCCAACACAGAACAATGAGCATCCGCACCCAAAGCAGAGAGCAACGCCTAAGCAACCTGTCTCCTATAAGAACAGGGTGCGACAACGATGCAAAAACACTCACAAGAGCCCTTTCATTGGTCTAACCTTGCACCGTCCAATGTTGAGTGACCCTAACTTACACGCAAATTGTAATCCCTCTTTCCTTACCTTGGTAACTCACACGTAGGTTGAACCGTCTTTTGGAATTCCGATCGAGCGTCCAATTGTTCGCCCCTCGGCAACCCCATTCATCGAACTTGAATTATCATCCGTCTTTCGCGCGGCTCCGTTCGAAAGTCACGTCTCAACCGAGACGGCGTTTCAGTATTGTGTCGGGGGAGCCCGCGCCTGTCCGCATGGCTACCAACCCGATGCGCCCCAGGAGCACCTGGAGCACGAACTGTGCACTGGGTTAACTTTTGGTCCTCCCCTCCTGAGCACGATGTTGAGGTCCCGTTGCTCAATGGGGTCCTCCACGTGGAGGTTCGGCTCGGGGTGGACCTTCCCGCAGAGCAGAAACCACGGGTCCGCCCTCCGGCGGTCGGCACAGCGGATCGAGACGACCTCGCTCTGTCGGCTCTCGTCGCCCCACCGGTACTCGTGGCAGAAGAAGTGGAAGAAGCCGAACAGCAGGTGGCCCAGCGTGAAATGCTCGCCGCCCGACCCGCCCGCCTCCTGCCGCGCGGCGGCGCGCTCTCGCTCCTGCTTGTAGTCCTCGGCGCGCACGAAGCCAGTGTTGAACTCGCAGGGGTGCCCCCAGTAGTCGACGTCCTGGACGGTGTTCGGAGAGTCGGCCAGCGCCTGCAGCGAGGGCAGGACCCCAGCCAGCTGCAAGAAGTACACCACCATGATCGTCCACGTGTACGACGAGAGGTTGCCCTCGTTGGCACCGCACACCCGCATCCGCTTCGCCCAGTCCTTGACCAGCAGGACCAGCGGCCTGACCCGGTCGTCCAGCGAGGAATAGGCCTTGAGGAGCCTCGAGTTGTACAGCGGCAAGCGGTTGTTGATGGACACGTCGATCTCGTCGAGCTCCCCGCCCTTGTCCGCGAGCGTGACCAGCGGCCTCCGTGCGTGCGGCAGGCAGCGGACGACCTTGAAGCTATGCCCCGGCAGGAAGTCCGCGAGCTGCTGCACGGCGCAAGAGATGGCCCCCTTCCCCGTATCCTGAGGGGCAACGATAGGGTGGGACTGGCATAGGGGGGGACACGTCGGCCTGGAATCGGCGATACATCGCCGATGCATAGGCGATAGGCCTCGGATAATCCGCACGTTCCTGGGCAGGTTGGGGCTATCGGGCCCCCTATCGGCGGTCAGTGGGCGATTGGGGGTCGATGCATCCCTGGTGTCCGCTGCCCGCTCTGGCTGGTGCCTTCCCGGCGAGGCGGGCCCGACGCCCGCCTCGCCCAGCTGTTGTTGGACCTCCGCGAGCTGGCGCTCCTGCCTGCACTGGCTCGCGAAGCCCATGTAGTAGGCGAGCTCCTCCTCGTCCACGGCGACGAAGACGTCCAGGTCGGACGTCGTCTCCCCGAACCCGTTCACGGTCGATCCGAACGGGTGCACGGTGGCACAAGGCGCGATACAGGCCCTGCGCGCGAGTTTTCAGTGCGGCTGCCATCACTGCCGCGGGAAGAGAGCGCAGAGGAGGGGGGGGAGGGCGAGCGAGGGAGGGAGGGGAGGGGCTGGAGCGGGGGCGGGAGGAGCGAGATCGGGAGTAGGAGGAAGAGGAGGGGGAGCTGAAGCAGGCAGGAGTGCATGAGGACGACAGGGAGGAGTGGGAGAAAGAGCAGGAGGATCAGAAGGAAAGATGGGAACACCGACCGTAACAAGGGAAACGGCTCTGCGATTTCGCCATTGCGCTGATGTGAAAACCGAACTGGCACACAAACGAACCTTAATTTGAAGACACGCCCGACAAACCCAGCCACGAACCAGCAGGAAGCTGGTTTCGACTGACTCGTCAGTGGATCACGCTTCTCGCGCATGTCGAAGAGCAGTCAGAAGAAAACGCTCCCACGCTATGGCAGCGCAGAAGCCTTTAATCGGCAGCGAGGGCAGTCGTCAACGCCTTCGGGCAGCAGGCGGGTCACGCCAGGGCAGTGGCACACTAGACGCTTGGAAAAAAGGAGGGCGCCGTGGAGGGAGAACGCGGTGTGGGGGGGGACTGAGGCGTAGAGACCCTTCGCCACGAGAAGTGCGCCCGGCGGCCTCAGGCACCGAAAACCAGGGCACGCCAGAGCAGAAACACAGGTAGGCAGAGAAACCGGGTGCTTCGACGTCGCATCGGCAACAGAGCATGTGCAAAGAACTAGCCAGCACCCGTCCGCACCAAACAAAACGTGCACGGCCAAACGCGCACTGTGCAAAAGAACGGTGGGCGACGTACCAACGGGCGGAGGGAAGGAGGTCCTCCTTGCCTGTCGTGGTCCCCTTTCACGTGCAGGCCTGAGTTTGATCACCCCCCCACGCAGGGGCGATCGCCCGTTGGGGGAGGCGGCTGCGCTCGACCGGCAACTGATGCCGACAGCCCGAAGATGAGGAGGAGGCCGCGATCGGATTGCCGTGCCTCTCCCTCCTCCACCTTTCTCCTTTCCTCCACCACTGCTCCATCCTTACTCATCCTCATCCTCACCATCCTCCCTCTCCTCATCCTCCTCCTCCTCATCTTCGGGCCTAGGGGAACAAAAAGTTACATAAACATAACAACTCGGAGGTCCGCGCGGATTTCTCGGATCGGCGCTGGGGCCCCCCCGGCGGCGCCTCCGGCGCCACCCCTGGCGCGCTCCGCGCGCCTGGGAGGGGGGTCCGGCGCCGATCCGAGAAATCCGCGCGGACCTCCGAGTTTTTGTGTTTATGTCACTTTTTGTTCCCCTAGGCCCGAAGATGAGGAGGAGGATGAGGAGAGGGAGGATGGTGAGGATGAAGATGAGTAAGGATGGAGCAGTGGTGGAGGAGGGAAGGGCACGGCAATCCGATCGCAGCCTCCTGCGGTGTGGTGGCCTCGTGTGCGGCCGCTGCCGGCGTGAAATCCGACCCTGCGGATGGGTCTGCCGGGGCTCCTCCACTTATAGGCGGACCACGGGGGGAAACTGGAGCACTCCCGAGCTGCTGCGCAGGCAGGCGCAGCAGGAATCTCTGCGACCTGCCCGCTCGACAGCACAATCAACCGATGACAGCGCTGAGGGACGCCCTGTCGGGACGCCCGGATGTCCTCCAATGAACGCAGCCCGGGGTGAAGACAGCGACGCATTTGTACGCCGCAAATGTCGTAACGGATCCTCTGCCCACCCTCTTGTTGGGCACCGCTGCGTTTGAACTCGTCACGCCTGCAGCCTCAGGCGTTGTGAGGGCATTCTGCCCGCGCGACCCCACTTCACGTCGGACGCGCGTGTTTGCTGGCTCGGGGCACTCGTTCCATCTGCAGATGGCACCCGCTCGCAAATCGTCAGGAACAAAGCGAAGGATGATGATACGAAGGAGGACGAGTAGAAGGAGGAAGAGGAGGAAGAGGAGGAGGAGAAGGAGAAGGAAGAGGAGGACGACGATGAAGAGAAATAGCAGGACGGGTACGAGGAGGAACAGCGAGACGATCGAGAGACACGACAAGCGAAGCCCTGCAAACAGATCGAGCTGCGCGGACCAAGCGGGGGGCCGATGCGTGCCGACGGAAGACGTATCAAGCTACAGCCAGATCCCTGCCGCAAGGAACCACACTCAAGCTTGCAACGCCGAACAAATACAGGACTGGTCCTCGCTTCAACGTTTTGATCCGCGACTGGGCTCTTGTGACACGAAGTGGGATGTCCTCGGATCAACCCCTCGAACCTTAGCCATCAATCCTGATGATTCTTGCAAGGGCTCTGATCCAGGAGCTCTTGAATTTTGGCGCTTCCACTTTGCGCAGCAGCGCTCCGCTAATTAACCTCAGACCAAAATATTCCAATTGCTTGCCCCCAATTCGCGGGGCGCCGCTCCGCTAATTGCAACCCCCTGAACGGCTTGCAATCCCACGACAAGCCCAAAAACATCCACGAAGCCTATCACCCACAACCCAGGCACGGTGGCGGGATGAGCCGAAGGCCACTAGATCCGCCGCCCCCTGTGGTCTTGCCACAGGGGTGCACGGCGTGCTGGATGTTTCAGGTTTTGGTTTTGGTTCTTTTTCTAAAAGAACTCCCCAGTGGGCTTCGGCCCGTCCGGCCACCCGCGCATTTCCCAAAATGCGTCTGTCAATGCCCAAAAACTGCCGTTTCGCTCGGGACATCCTCAAAAAATCGCGAAGATGGCCCAAGATGGCCTCCAAGTCCGCCCGAGATGGTCCAAGACGGCCTCCAAAACGGCCCAAGAGAGTCCAAGACGGCCCAAGACGGCCCAAGAGGCCCCCCAGAGGCCTCCCAGACGGCCCAAGAGGCCTCCAAGAGGTCCTCCAGGAGAGTCCGAAGAGGCCAAAATCATTGATTTTCCCTTGGTTTTTGAAGGATTTTGGCATTTGCGCCTTTTCGGCTCTCCGACGGCTCAAGACGGCCCAAGAAGCCCCCAAGATCGCCCAAGAGGCCCCCAAGAGAGCCCCATGATGGCCCAAGTGGCCTCCAAGATGGCCCCTAGAGGGCCCCAAGAGGGCCCAAGAGGCCTCCAACACGCCCAAGATGGCCTCCCAGACGCCCAAGATGGCCTCCAAGACGGCCCTGGAGCATTCCAAGCGGGCCCCAAGTCGGCCCATAGAGGCCCCCCAAACGGCTTCCGACGGCTTCAGACGTGCCAGGAACCCACCAAGATGGCCGAAGTTGGCTCGAAGCTGGCCCGAGACGGCCTCCCAAGACGGCCAAGATGACCTTCAAGATGCCCACGTGTTCCCCGAAGGCTTTCCAAACCGATTCGGGGAACACGTGGTCCGATAGCTTGGCAGGTCTGGCCTCAACGTTCGGCCACATAGGCGCTTCCAAAAAGGCAGGGGGCGGCGGTGATTCGCCGTAGGCGTCTTCGATCCGCCGCCCCCTGTGGTCTTGCCACAGGGGTGCACGGCGTGCTGGATGTTTCAGGTTTTGGTTTTGGTTCTTTTTCTAAAAGAACTCCCCAGTGGGCTTCGGCCCGTCCCGCCGGCCACCCGTAATTTTCCCAAAATCCGTCTGTCAATGCCTTTGTTGCCCCAACTTGGCCCAAGATGGCCTCCAAGACGGCCAAGATGGCCCAAGATGGCCTCCAAGATGCCTCCCAGACGGCCAAGATGGCCTCCAAGACGGGTAAGATGGCTCCAAGATGCCTCCAAGACGGCCCAAGATGCCCTCCAAGACGGCCAAGATGGCCCCAAGATGCCTCCAAGATGGCCCAAGAGGCCTCCAAGACGTTCTCCAGGAGAGCCCGAAGAGGCCAAAATCATTGGTTTTCCTTAGGTTTTTGAAGGTTTTTTGCGTTTTCTTCTTTTCGGCCTTCCGACGGCCCAAGAGGCCCCCAAGATCGCCCAAGAGGCCTCCAAGAAGGCCCTATGACGGCCCAAGGGCCCCCCAAGACGGCCCCAAGAGCGCCCCAAGACGGCCCAAGAGGCCTCCAAGACGCCCAACATGGCCTCCAAGACGGCCCTGAAGCGCCCCAAGAGGGCCCCAAGACGGCCCAGAGAGGCCCCCAAGACGGCTCCAGACGGCGTCAGACGGACCAGGAACGCCCTAAGACGGCCAAAGAGACCCCCAGGAAGCCCCCAAAGGCCCCCAAGAGGCCCAAGGAGGCCCCCAAGATGCCTCCAAGAGGCCTCGAAGAGGCCCCCAAGAAGCCCCCAACAGACCCCAAGGGTGCCCCAAGAGACTCCTAACAACCCTCATCCTCCTACTCTATTTCTTCCTCTTCCTCTTCCTGTTCATAATCATTCTCTCCCATGTGTTCCCCGAAAGCTTTCCAAACCGACTCGGGGAACTCATGGTCCGATAGCTTGGCCAAGCTCTAGTCCAACTTTCGGCCACATCGGCGTTTCCAAAAAGGCAGGGGGCGGCGGTGATTCGCCGTAGGCGTCTTCGATCCGCCGCCCCCTGTCGATTCATCGCAGGGGTGCCCGGCGTGCTGGATCCTGTCGGTTTTGGTTTTGGTTCTTTCTCCAAAAGAACTCTCCCAATGGGTTTCGGCCCGTCCCGCCGGGGTCCCAGGATTTTTTCCACGGCCCCAATTTTCTGCCCAAGACGGCTCCAAGATGGCCTCCAAGATGGCCAAGATGGCCTCCAAGATGGTCCAAGATGGCCTCTAAGTCCGCCCAAGATGGTCCAAGGCGGCCTCCAAGACGGCCTCAGAGAGTCCAAGAGGGCCCCAGACGGGCCAAGAGGCCCACCAGAGGCCTCCCAGACGGCCCAAGAGGCCTCCAAGAGGTCGTCCAGGAGGGCCCGAAGAGGCCAAAATCATGGATTCTCACTAGGTTTTGGAAGGATTTTAGAATTTGCTTCTTCTCGGCATTCCGACGGCTCCAGACGGCCCAAGAGGCCCCCAAGATCGCCGAAGAGGCCCCCAAGAGAGCCCCATGACGGCCCAAGTGGCCTCCAAGATGGCCCCAAGAGGGCCCCAAGACGGCCCAAGAAGCCTCCAACACGCCCAAGATGGCCTCCAAGACGGCCCCGAAGCGCCCCAAGAGGGTCCCCCGTTGGCCCAGAAAGGCCCCCCAGACGGCTCCCGACGGCGTCAGACGTGCCAGGAACCCACCAAGATTGCCGAAGTTGGCTCGAAGCTGGCCCAAAAGGGCCCCAGAGGCCCCCACGAGGGCCTCTTGGAAGGCCAGAAGAGGCCAAAAACATTGATGTTCCTAAGGTTGCTGACGGGTTTTGACATTTCCTTCTTTTCTGCATTCCGACGGCCCGAGACGGCCCAAGAGCCCCCAGAGATCGCCGAAAGATCGCCCAAGAGGCCTCCAAGACGGCCACGATGACCTTCAAGACGCCCACGTGTTCCCCGAAGGCTTTCCAAACCGATTCGGGGAACACATGGTCCGATGGCTTGGTGGCCAAGATGGCCCAGGATGGCCTCCAAGATGGTCCAAGGTGGCCTCCACGACGGCCCAAGAGAGTCCAAGACGGCCCAAGAGGCCCCCCAGAGGCCTCCCAGACGGCCCAAGAGGCCTCCAAGAGGTCCTCCAAGAGGGCCCGAAGAGGCCAAAATCATGGATTTTCCGTAGGTTTTCGAAGGATTTTGGAATGTGTTTCTGCTCGGCATTCCGACGGCCCACGACGGCCCAAGAGGCCCCCAAGATCGCCCAAGAGGCCCCCAAGAGGCCCCATGACGGCCCAAGTGGCCTCCAAGATGGCCCCAAGAGGGCCCCCAGACGGCCCAAGAGGCCTCCAACACGCCCAAGATGGCCTCCAAGACGCCCAAGATGGCCTCCAAGACGGCCCCGAAGCGCCCCAAGAGGGTCCCCCGTGGGCCCAGAAAGGCCCCCAAGACGGCTCCCGACGGCGTCAGACGTGCCAGGAACCCACCAAGATGGCCGAAGTTGGCTCGAAGCTGGCCCAAAAGGGCCCCAGAGGCCCCCACGAGGGCCTCTTGGAAGGCCAGAAGAGGCCAAAAACATAGATGGTCCTAAGGTTGTTGACGGATTTTGACATTCCTTCTTTTCGGCCTTCCGACGGCCCCAGACGGCCCAAGAGCCCCCAAAGATCGCCGAACGATCGCCCAAGAGGCCTCCAAGACGGCCACGATGACCTTCAAGATGCCCACGTGTTCCCCGAAGGCTTTCCAAACCGATTCGGGGAACACATGGTCCGATGGCTTGGCAGGTCTGGCCTCAACGTTCGGCCACATAGGCGCTTCCACAAAGGCAGGGGGCGGCGGTGATTCGCCGTAGGCGTCTTAGATCCGCCGCCCCCTCTCGATTCATCGCAGGGGTGCCTGGCGTGCTGGTTTTTTGTCGGTTTTGATTGTGGTTCTTTTTCTAAAAGAACTCTCCCAATGGGTGTCGGCCCGCCCCGCCGGCCGCCCCCAAGACCCGCAAGAAGCACACGCCATCGCCTAATCCCAATTCTTCCTCCAAGACGTCCCAACATGGCCTCCAGGATGGTCACGTTTGCCCAAGATGGCCTCCAAGATGGTCCAAGATGGCCTCCAAGTCCACCCAAGATGGTCCAAGACGGCCTCCGAGACGGCCCAAGAGGGTCCAAGATACCTCCAAGTTCGCCCAAGAAGCCTCCAAGACGGCCCAAGACGGCCCAAGAGGCCTCCGAGAGGTTCTCCAGGAGGGCCCGAAGATGCCAAACTCATTGTTTTTTTCCGTAGGTTTTGGAAGGATCTTGGAATTGCTTCTTCTCGGCATTCCGACGGCTCAAGACGGCCCAAGAGGCCCCCAAGATCGCCCAAGAGGCTCCCAAGAGGGCCCCATGACGGCCCAAGTGGCCTCCAAGTTGGCCCCAAGAGGGCCCCAAGACGGCCCAAGAGGCCTCCAAGACGCCCAAGATGGCCTCCAAGACGCCCAAGATGGCCTCCAAGACGGCCCCGAAGCGTCCCAAGAGGGTCCCCCGTGGGCCCAGAAAAGGCCCTCAAGACGGCTCCCGACGGCGTCAGCCGTGCCAGGAACCCACCAAGATGGCCGAAGTTGGCTCGAAGCTGGCCCAAGACGGCCCAAGAGGCCCCCGAGAGGGCCTCCAGGACGGCCATAAGAGGCCAAAATCATCGATTTTCCTAAGGGTTCCCCGAAGGCTTTCCAAACCGATTCGGGGAACACATGGTCCGATGGCTTGGCAGGTCTGGCCTCAACGTTCGGCCACATAGGCGCTTCCAAACAGGCAGGGGGCGGCGGTGGTTCGCCGTAGGCGCCTTCGATCCGCCACCGTGCCTCGAGGCACGAAGTAAAGTTACCCCTAGGCTCTCATGTGTTCTCTGTTCTCTGCACTCAGGAATGGGGGCCCCAAATTCTTAAACTTTCTGGGCGTTCCCGCGCGTTCATGGGCTGCCTCGCGTGACTTTCTCAGATGCCAGAGGGCCCCAAGACAGGCCACGAGGGACCCACAAAGCGCCCGAGAAGGGCCAATAAGCTCCCAAAACATTCCAAGAGCGCTCCGAAACGCCCAAGATGGCCCAGCGCCAAGACGGCCCAAGACGCCCCCCAAAACCCCAAGAGCGCTCCAAGAGGACTCCCAAGAGGGCCCAAAGAGGCAAGCATCATTGATTTTCATTTTTTTTCTATGTGTTTCGCGTTCTCGCGCTTTCGGGCTTCCGACGCTCCAACATAGACCCAAAGGCCCCCAAGACCGCCCGCCCCAAGACGGCCCAAGAGGCCCCCCAAAGGGCCCCAAAACGGTCCAAGAGGGCCCCCAAACGGCCCAAGAAGAGGCCAAGATCTTGGCCCGAGAGGGGAACGCGAACTGACAATTCAAACCTTCTGTGCCAAGAGGCCCCCAGGAGGCTCCAAGAGGCCCCCAAGAGGCCCCCAAAAAATTCAAAAAGAGGTCCCCGAGAGACCCCCAAACGGCCCCCAAGAGACCTCAAACTGCCTCCAGGCACCCGATTCGCCACGTCACAACGCCGCGGGGCGTTAACAAATACACCGCCACTCCATTCGCAACAAGGCAACGACAAGTCAACAAACAACGAAGAAGACCTCAAAACAACCGCTAACGTCACAGAAACCACAAACGGACCACGCTGAGGTACCCGATGGAAAATACCACTCGCCGACGCGCTACCCAGAACCCGATAAGGCCAAGAAATCCACGTGTGGACTTTTTACGGCCCTACTGCCCTCTCCGTTGCCTTCGTAGGTCTCGTAATTCTATCTGCCTTGTCCTCCCTCATCCTACGTCCACCAGCCTCCTCCTGTTGCACCCTGGCTCATCCTACCTCCTAGTCCCTGCTACCATCTCCTGCCCCCTCCCACTCATCCGACCTCCTCCTGCCGCCTACTACCTCTGCCTGCCTCCTTCGAGATCCCCTCCTCAGCTTTTCTAGATAGGCCTTTTATTAGTTTGTCGGATTTTGCCCCTCTTGCAGCTTCGGGTTTGGGTCTCCGGTGTTTTCGGGTGTCGCCCCTGTCAGGATTGAAGGTTTGGCCCTGCCCATTTTCGGGTTTCGGGGGAATTTCCGGGTTCAAGCTTCTTCCATGGTGGGACTGGGCCCACCCCCTCCCCTAGGGATCCTAACCTTGCCGTGGTTCACCCCCCGCTGGGATCGCAAGCCAATGTTTTGTTTTCCGGCGCCGTATTTGCGCCGATGGTGAATGACTACCGTTTGTTTTGGTGATGACCTCTGGAGCCTCACGTGTTTCGCGAGCATACATCATGTGTTTGTTGAGGGCCACTGGAGCCTGCTTTGTGTGTATGTATGTGTGTATGCGCGTGCGTGTGTTGCGAACGTCTATCGTTTCTTTGGGTGGCCTCTGGTGCCGCCTCGCTTGTTCTGCTGTCCTTCCCCTCGGTCTCGTGCGCCTGAGGTGAGGCTGAGCACGCTGTAAAGGCGTTCTCGACCGTCGTGCCAAAACGGAGTCAGCGTTCGCCCGGCTGAGAGGGAGTGATCCTGCCCTCGTGGAGAGCCGATCAAACCTCCTCATAAACATCCTCATCTTCCTCTGTCATCCGTATCCTCCTGTTCCCTTGGGAAGTCAGCCTGGCGCCCTTCTCAATGCGTCTCACGGTGTCATCGATGACGGAGGCCGATAGCTGCGGCACCCCCGCGAACTTCTCCTCAACGTCCGACGACAAGTCCGGGTGCACCGCTGCTCCTTCCGGCCCGCTGGGCCGTCGTCGGAAGATTAGGGGAATGAGGGAGGGAGGGAGGGAGGGAGGGAGGTAGGGAGGAGGGACTTGGAGTTCCAATGAGACTAGAGGGTCCCAGGGGGTGCGCGTTGAAAGGAGAGGCGAGGAGGGGGGATAGAGGAAGGGGGAGCAGGAGGAGGAGGGGACCAGAGTGAACCCAGAATGCATCAGCGATGCTGCAATACGTCCTCCCGTCTTGAAAACGAGCCATCCAGTGATACACTCATAGTGGAAACGACCGCCACGTCTGTGCGTATCTTGCAAAAGCTTCCACTGTTGGCCGTGAGCGCAGAGGGAGTCTGAAACGATAGCTCCATGCTGAAAAGGACCACCCTTCATCCGTGCAGCTGGCCCAAGTTTTGATTGCCAGCCGACCCCCGCTTGCCAGGGGCGAAAAGGCGTGCGGGACATCTGGCTGTCCCGCTCCCCCTTTCCCCCTCCCCAGGGGTCCAAACTCCCGATTCAGGGGGGAGGGAGGGTGGGAGGGGGGAGACGAGCTCGCCAACGCACCCTGGGGGCTCTGGAGCCACCAGAGAACTCCAAAACAGCCCCAGAAACGACGCTCTGCTTGGGCCTTCTGGGCCAGAAGGCCCAAGCAGAGCGTCGTCACGGTCCAAGAGAGCGTCGAGACGGCCCAGGGTAACCCCGCGACGGTCCAAGATTGCTTCAAGAAAACACTGCAATGTGAATTTTCCACATGCCCGCCTATTTCGTCTGGACAGCGTCCAATACGGCCAAAAGGTTCCCAATATCGTACCACGACAATCCATGAGGCCCTCAAGAGGGCCCGAAGACGGCCCCAAGACGGCCCCAGGGGCCACCAAGACGGCCCATGAGGGCCCTGCGAAAGGTCTAAGAGGAGCAATACAAATTTATATCTCGGAGCCTTCCCCCCCGTCGTGACCCCAGAAACACCCGAGAGACCCCAGAGGCGCCCCCAAGAGGCCCCCCAGGGGCACCCAAGAGCCCCCAAACGCCAACCAGATGCCTCCAAAAGCTATCTAAGAGGCCCCTGAGAAACATCCCCTAAACCCCTCATGTCCATCCTAGAAGAGCTCGCAGCCAGCCCGACGAACCCACCATGAGCCGATAAAAGGCTCCCCGAAGCCTCCACCAGAGGCCTCCCAAAGCCTTCCAGCAACCCCGTGACAAATCCCAACAACCCCCTATTGCACCCCTGAATTCCGTCATTCCTCCCTCCGCTCTCTTTCTTCCCACCTCCGCTCCGCCTCCTTCCTCCTCCTCCTCCTCCTCCTCCTCCTCCTCCTCCTCGTCGTCCCCCTCCTTCTCCTCCTCCTCCTCCTTCTTTCTCCTCGACCCTCGCGGGCGTGAAAAACACCCAGCCACTCCAGCTCCGACATCGCCGACACAACGCTCTGGACGTCTCCACTCGGCTGGGGGTCGGCGGAATAGCGCAAGCCGCTTGGATGAAGACGTCTCAAGCGAACCAATGTTTAAAAGCGGCCTCCATCCATCTGGGCAGCTGTTGCATCTGCTCAAGCTTCGGATCTTGAGATTAGCTCAGAAAGCCACCCCTTGAACAGGCGCCGCCCTCCAACCTTGAAGGTGCAACAGACTGTGAAAACGAAAGTGCGCGGCGCCAGGGCGAGAGATCAACTTTGGAAAATGGCCGCCCTCAACCCCGACAGCTGCTGCAACTATTTTTAAGACGAGTGTGCGCGGCGCTAGAGCGAGAGCTCCATTCTGAAAACGACCATACCTTTCATCTTTGACGCTGTTGCAACTGTCAAACATCAAGACCATACGTGGCGAAGAAGCCTCAGGCGAAACGCCCGGCCCGCCCTACCCACAAATCTGGGGGTGCGACAAGGAAGATATACTCGTAAGGAGAAGGGATGGAGGATGATGATGAGGAGGACGAGGAGGAGGAGGAGGAGCAAGACAAAGAAGAAGCGAGGGCGGAACAGGCAGCAGAAGGCGGAGGACCTGGAGGACTTGGAGGGCGAGAAGGTGGCGGCTCCTCGCACCCATGTGTCCAGTGGTAGCGGCTCGAACGGCGCCAGCCCATCCTCAGCGGCGGTGCCCGATGACGAAGGCGACTCCCCCTCCCTCCCTTCCTCTCTCTTCCCATGTCGCCTATCTTCGCGCACCGCGCCGCCCCACTGGAGAAGGGCACACCCTCTGGCCCAGGCCACGACGAGTGAAGCGCGGTCAGCCATCCTCGCGCCCTTGCGGGTGACCAGGCTCCCACCCCGTTGCGAGAAGCGCTTGGAGTCCAAGTCCTCGTCCTGCCCGTGCTGGGGCAAGAACCCGAACGGGGCCGCCGCCGCTGCTGTGACCTCCGGCTCCGCGCTCCGCGTCCTCGCTGCGGGAAAAGACATGGAGGGAGGGAGCAGGAAGGGATGATACACGGGGTTAGACGGACAACCGAAGAAGCAAGGAACATCGTTTTCTCAACGCGATTCGTGTCCGTGGTAATGCCATCGCCTACTTCGAAGAAGACGCTGCTCGCGGGAGCATCAGCAATGAAGTAGGAGTGGGTTTTAGCCGTGAAATGATCGAACCTACCACATGTTTTCTACTCAGTATGATCAACGTTGTCTCCTACGCGGTGTCATCTGCGTTGTGTTGTTTAACGCAGTGTTTTATGTTGTGTCATCACCTGCATGCATTTACGCAATGTCTTCTACGCAGTGTCTTCCACGCAATGTGTCCTATGCAGTGTTTTCGACGCAATGCTTTCTACGCAATGGCTTCTACCCAGTGTGTCAAAACCTGCATATCTTCATGCGGTGTCTTTTACGCTGTGTCTTCTACATTGTCTTTTACGCTGTCTTCTACGAGGTGTCTTCTACCCAATGTCTTCTACGCAATGTGTTCTACGAAATGTTTTCTACGCAATGATTATACGCGGAATTTTAAACGCAGTGTGTCCGACGCAACATGTTCGACAATGTCTTTTGCGCGTTGTTTTCTGCGCAACCCTTTTCTATGCAGTGTTCTCTACGTTGCGTGTTCTGCGCGGCGTTGCTTGCGCAGCGTTCTCTGCAGTGTGTTTTCTAAGCAACGTTTTCTGCGCAATGCTCTCTACACTGCGTTTGTTTCAACCGCAGTGTGTTTTACGCTGTGCTCCCAACTTCATATTTCTACGCAGTGTATTGTACGATATGCCTTCGACGCGCTGCGCCCTACGCAACTCTTTCTACGCAGTGGCCTCTATGTGGCGCTTCCTACGCGGGATTTCCTACGCAAGAGTTTCTGCGCTGTGTGTTCGCGATGTTGACACCGCGTTGTTGACGCAGCGTTGTTGGTGCCGCGCGTTTGACACCGCGTTGTCGGCTCCGTGTTGTTGATACTGCCTCATTAGCCCCACGTTGTTGACACCGCGCAATTGACACTGCGGTGTTGACACCGCGCATTGGACACTATGCGTTCACACCGCATTGTTGACACCGCGGTGTTGTCACCTCGCAACTGGCACCGCGTTGTTGGCATTGCGTTGTTGACACCGCGTTGTTGACACCGTGTAAAAGACACCTCGCTGTTGGCACTGCGTTCTTGACACAATGTCGTTGACACAACGTTGTTGGCACTGTGTTTTTAGCACCGCGGTGTGGTGGAGGAGGGGGAGGGGGGGAGGGGGAATCCCAGGGCGGAGATTGAAGAGGTACAGGGGGAGGAGGACGCTGTTGGCACTCCGTTGTTGACACAACGTTGTTGGCGCAGCGTGTTGAGACCTCGCTATTGACACTGATTTGTTGACACCGCGTTGTTGACACCTCGTTGTTGACACAATTTGTTTGGCACCGCGTTGTTGGAACAACGTTGTTGGCACTGCGTGGTTGGCACCGAATTGTTGGCACACCGCTGTTCACACTCCATTTGTTGACACCACGTTGTTGACACTGCGTTGTTGACCCCATGTTGTTGATACTGCAGTGGTGGCACAATGTCTTCTTGACACTACGGTGGTGACACTGTGTTGTTGACACTGCGTTGATGACACCGCTTTGTTGACACTGCTTTGATCACACTGCGTTGTTGAACCCGCGTTGTTGGCAATGCGTTGTTGACACCGCGCTGTTGACGTATACGCGGTGTCCTAGGGGTGTCCTGCGTGGTTTATCATGCGTGGTGTGTTATGCGTGGCGTGTCCTGCATGGTGGGTTGCGCGGGGAGTTTTCTGCGTGGTGTTATTTGCGATGCGTATTCTTCATGACGCGTTCTTCGCGATGTGTCATACGCAATGTGTTCTACGTGGTGTGTCATACGTGGTTTGTTCTGCGTGGCGTGTGCTGCGTTCCGTGTTCTACGTGGTTTGTTATACGGAGTGTAGTCTACGCGGTGTGCCATGCGCGTTGCTGACACCGCGTTGTCGACACCGCCACGTAGAACACGCAACGCAGAAGTCGCCACGTAGACGTCGCCACGGTGCCACGCGCCACGTAGAACATACCACGCGGCCACGCGCCACGTAGAACGCGCCGCGCAGCCACGCGCCACGTAGAACACGTGGAACAACCACGTGCCACGTAGAACGCGCCGCGCAGCCACGCGCGGCGTAGAAGAACACGCCGCTCAACAAGCCATGCAGCCACGCGGCACGTAGAACACACACCACGTAGAACACCCCACGCATACTAAGCAACGCAGCTACGCGCCACGTAGATTGCACACCACGAAGAACACACACCACGTGGAACATACACGACGTTGAACACAAACCACGTAGAGCACACACCACGTAAAACACACAAACAAACACCACGTAGTTTACACACAAACAAACACCACGTAAAGCACACACCACGTAGACCACGCATCACTAGAACACACACCACGTAGAACACGCACCACGTAGAACACACGCCACGTATAACACGTACAACGTAGAACACGCACCACGTAGAACACACACCACGTAGAACACGTACAACGAAAACGCACACACCACGTAGACTACATATGACGTAGAACGAACAGACACACACACACAACGTACACACACTGCGTATAACACACACCATGTATAACACACGCCACGTGCACACACTGCATATAACAGACACCACGAAGAGCATACACCACGCGTAACACGCACAACGCACAACACACCACGTATAACACGCCAAACAGAACACGCACACACCACGCATAACACACCACGTAGACACACACACACACCACGTAGACACACTGCGTAGAGCACACGGAGTAGACCACACTGCGTAGAAACCACAGTGTATAACATTTCCTTTTGCAATTCAATTTCGAATTTCACTGGTGAGACTACTCTAGGCAGTGAAGACCTTGAATGCGAAGACAATGCCGGTGCGCCACACGACACATGACCACAACTGGTGCAAGATCAGCACCCCTTATCGACAATGGTTGCGGACGAGGCGGGGTCAGCCAAGCCAACTTGACTCAAACAAGTTGAGCCACGCCGAGGAGGGAGAGGACAATGGCGAAGGAGGCTGAGGAGGAGAGGGAAAGAGAGGTGGAGGAGGGTCAGAATAAACCCATGGCCCATGATGCATCAACTATGCTGCAATACAATCTCCCGTCCCAAATCCCCACATCAGAAATCTGTGATCCACCGCCGCTTTGCTGTGGAAAATTCCCACCCCCTCTTCCTCCGGAACCTGAATATTCCCCCCCCCTCCCCCCCTCCGAAAATCCCCCTTCCCCCTGCTCGAACCCCTCCCCCCCGCAAAAAAAAACCTCCCCCTCCCCCCCCCCCTCCGGAAAACGGGGCCAACTGTGCTGCAATACAGTGGGGGCCGATCCACAAGAAACCTTCCACAAGAAACTCAACCCTGAGACCCCAGGATGTCCATCGACTTTTGGTGTGGGAGCGTCAGGGCCTCCATCGCCAAAACAACATCGAGACCCAAGAAACCCAGGGCACCCTGGAGGAAGGCAGGGTGTTTCTTGGCATGGGTCTCCACTGTAGGCTTCATGATACACCACCGTGCCTTGTGCAAGTTGGGGCGTGTTGGAACCTGGGCTGGCACGGGAACGAAAATCACGCTTCAGGAACGTGCCCGAGAGGGATCATGGCGCCGTTCGCTCTTGCGAATTTTGCCGTTCAGATCTTGTTCACGTCACCTCTCGCTTTTTGGAGCCTTGGGGTGAAGATCTTTTTCGCGTACCCGTTCGCCCTTGGGATCCTTGGCGTGAATAGCCTTTTACGTAACCGTTCGCTCTTGGGAACCTTGGCGTTGAGATCTGTTTCCGTCACCATTCGCTCCTGGGATCCTTGGCGTTAAGAGCTTTCTGCGCCACTGCTCGCTCTTGGGACCCTTGGCGTTCAAAGATTTTTACGTCACCGACTCGTGAACACATTGCTTTCCGATCAATTGGTGCTCTTAGGAGCCTGGGCATCAAAGCTGCGTCCGTCATTGGGCACCTGCACCACCTGATCTTAGGTGGCCTGCTGTACTTCCTGTCCCGCGTGGTGACGTCCCTCCAAGTGCGGCAAAATAACGCCTAAACGGCTCCGATCTGTCCGTTCCTGGCAAGCGGTACGGAATATTCTGCCACCGCTCTGGGTATACGATCTGGGGATGCCCCCCTGAGATCTCAAATTTGTCGATCGTGGCCTGCACCACCGCTGTGCTGCCCGTCGTCGTGCAAACTCTTCCTGCTGGATGTGCGGCTTCAGCGGTGGTGGAGGCGGTGGGCACCTCCACGATGCCCTCTAAGACAAAGCCAGGACGGGGACACCATCAGCTCAGTAGCTCAGTGGAGCCGCGCCGCACGGCGCATCGGCTAAACAGCACAAGGCTAATTACAACAGTTCTAACGCACAGCCTCTCAGAGAACATACGCCTGGGCAACGCTTCTCCACCGAGCCCTGCTATAGTTCGGCCCGAGCTCGGCGCGCACAGATGTGCCAGAAGCCGAGCATGCTAGCGACGCGTGCTCATGCATTACGCGAGCCCATGTCAATCTGGGGCGGCCTCGTGCTCTTCTTCCGTGTAGGATCGGCGGGTTCACGCTCCGTGTAGGACGGGGACACCATCGGACAACGATAATCGAGGGTCTCCGAGATCCGGCGGGTCTGGAGGATGCATCGGGCGCCGCGGCCTTCCCAGATTGCTCCAGAACGCTCTGAGAGCGTTCTGGAACGCTCTGGAAAGATTTGCGCCTGTCCTTCCAATAGGGGGCCGACTACAGCATTGATTCACCCCGACAATGAGTTCCCCGCCGAACCTACCAACAAACTGCGTAAAATGCCCCTTAGGTCTACGAACATTCTACGCGTTTCTTGCACATTTGGCGGGAATTATCAAGCTTGGAGTAAATCGATTCTGTAGTCGATCCCCTATTCGAAGTGATGACAGCCTAACCCACCCCCACCCCGAGCCAGGACCTC